AGGTGTGCGTGCAATATACCGGCGGGCCAGATCTAATAGTAATTAGAAATTATCCTGCGGGCCGAAATTAAATCCACCACGGGCCTGATTTGGCCCCCGGGCCTTGAGTTTGACACATGTGCAGTAGAGGCACTGCATACACCTGAACATCAGCAGGAGAGGACTCTTTAAAGTAGAGACACTACATACTGATATACACCTGAACATCAGCAGGAGAGGACTCTTTAAAGTAGAGACACTACATACTGATATACACCTGAACATCAGCAGGAGAGGACTCTTTAAAGTAGAGACACTACATACTGATATACACCTGAACATCAGCAGGAGAGGACTCTTTAAAGTAGAGACACTACATACTGATATACACCTGAACATCAGCAGGAGAGGACTCTTTAAAGCAAGACGAGGAACTAAATGCTGGTGGCATCATTATTCTACACTCCAATTCATTGTGCAATCATATTTCAACCCATATTTCACACAGCCTCCACCTCCTGGCTGTAGACCCTCAGCCTGAGGAGCCTAACCAGATTTTAATTCTCATTTTATTTCCGTTTATCCTCCACATACTGAGGCTTATTCTGGTTCAGCACTCAAAATCTGCTAAATGACTCCATCAGCACCATCTTTCTAATGTGTTGCAGTCAAAACTCCAGTCCAAGTCATATTGGTAATTCATTAAAAACAATAAAAAAGCAATCGCCCGTGTGAGTCATTATGTGAGCACGGTGAGGGTGATAAAAGAAAAGATCATTAGGAGATAAAACTGAACAGAGTCAACACCAGCTTCTGCTAACACTAGAGATATTCTCACACAATTTCCTGCTCGATGAAGCGCTCCAAACTTCACTTTGCAGTTTCAATTTAAATGATAAGCAGGACTCTTATTCAGATACAAATAAAGACTGAATTGCACAAGCAAAACACAGTGTGTAAATAAGGAGACAATCTATTATTCAGTTATTCTGCACAGCGCTTCTGTGATCAGTGGTTTCTGTGTGTGTGGTTTGTAATAACAGAAGAAGGAAATGTCAGGACGTAATCTCACAAACAAACAGTCTGAATCTGCACCTTATCCCTAATTAACGCTTCACACTGATAAGGAAATCCTCACTTTTACACTGGACAGACTGTAGGGTTTTCACTAAGCCAAAGGCCAGGCAGGACATGTAGACTTTGTTTCAATAGTGGCCGAAACAAGATGATGGAAATG